CTATGTTAACACGTAAATGTGGAAGGAACTATTCCGTGATGCCAAATATGGAGAGGGCAAGTCTCTGGGGCATTGTTATCCACTCCTTAAAAACAGGGAAGGAAGATATGAGTTCTTTTGATCTCTGCTCTGAGCACATGCTGGTACCAACTTGCCTGCCAAGTTCACTTCAATGCAGTAAAAAAAAAAAAAAAAAAAAAAAAAAAAAAATAGGTTGCATATTAACACCGTGTGTCTGTGTATGTTTGTGTTTGTATGTGTGTGCATGTTTGCACACTTGTGTGGGTGTGTGTACAAGCATGTGCTTTACTTTGTCCAAACAGAATAAATGAGATTTATTTACTTTGGTCACTCGGAATATGGTAAATATATTATAATACCTTATATTTACCAGTCTACAACTGTCAAAATGACAGCTGTAATTTTCAGATAAATAAACTGAAACAATCACTTTTCTAAAGCTGGAGAGATGGCTCAGTGGTTATGAGTGTATAAAATTCCCCCAGAGGCACTGTTTGATATACAATACCTCTGTCAGATGCCTCACAACTGCCTGGAGCTCCAGCTCCACCGATCTTACGCCCTCTTCTGGCCTCTGCATGAACCTGCACTCACTCATGTGCACGACGCCACCCACAGACACACTTGCGTAATTACAAATGATCACACATATAATTAAAAGTGATCTTTAAAAAAAAAAGCTATGTCAGTGTGTTTTTACAAAAGCTGATGGTAGGGGGAAATTAATTATTATTCAATTAGCATTTTATCTTTCAAATGAGCATACATTATTTTACATGTTAGAGGAGTGTGGTATATACTATGTTATGACCAAAGCAGGCTGATTAGCCTTTCAGTCTCTTTAGACACCAATCACTTCTCTGTGTTGTGAATCTCTGGACTTTTCTTACTGTTTTTGAAATGCATTCTAAATTGTGGTGTCTTGTGGTTACCTCTTTGTATCAGGTAACACTGGAACTAGCCCTGCCTTCAGTCGCATTTGGTAACTGATCTCTAACCTCTGTGTCCATCCCCTCACCCCTCCTGGGCTTCAGCAACCCCTAACCCTCCTCCTCTCCCCCTCCTCCTCTCCGAGCCCAGCCAGCTTTTTAAGCTTCCACACGTGAGTGACTTTCTGTGTGTGGCTTATTTCATTTAACATGATACATTCCAGCTCCTTCCAGTCGCGATTGGATTTCATTCTCTACTCTGGCTGAATAACATCTGCTCATTTACATGACATGTAGATACCTACATCATGTATACATACATGTATTTTTTCTCCATCCCTTCATTCACAGGTACACATCCTCTTCATTTATCTGTGAATGGGTGTCATGGTTGGCTCTGTACCCTACTTATTAGAAATGGTGTTACAATAGACACGGGAGTGGAAATGTCTTCAGTATACCTTTTTATTTCTACTGTGGGTATGTAATGGGATGCCTGGGGGCTCTAGTTCCAGTCGTCTTTGGAAACTCCAACCAGAATTAGTTGGCCAAAAAAGCATCTAGGTCAGTAAAATGCCCCAGAATATCCCCTGGTGAAAGAAAACAACATTCTTTTTTTTTTTTTTTTCTGCAGAGAGCACTAAACACGTGTGCCCACCAGTAACACAGTTTGTCATCTTTTCCTCTTCATGATGTGCGTTTGGGAATGCGTGTGTGGCTGTTCCCTATTGGATGGTGCAGGCTAGAGCAGCGTGCAATGGGTTTATTGTTAATGCTGAGACAGGGTCTAACTATATAGCCCTGGCTGGTCAAAACTCACTGTTTAGACGAGCTGGTCTTAAACTTGAGGCTGTCCTCCCTCCTGCCCCTGCCTCTCAAGTGCTGGGGTGGCTGCAACATGCCCAACTGCTTTCAGTATCTTGAAGATAAAAAGGCCAAGGCTGGCAGTGAAGCTCAGTGGTAGAGCTCTTGCCTACACAACTGAGGCTCGGGGCTCCATTCCAGTACTGTGATATATGAATATCATATGTACAGATATGTATATATGCGATATATACTCGCATGCAATATGTGTATATATTTATGAGTATATATGTGTGTGCATAAGTGTACATGTGTGTGTGAGAGAGAGAGTGTGTGTGAGAGAGAGAAAGGGAGAGATTTGTTTTCTTTCTCTCAAACTCCTTTCAAAGTAGAGAGAAATATAAAGCGCACATATGACTTTAAATAAAAGTCCCAGTCAAAGCCGGGCGTTGGTGGCACATGCCTTTAGTCCCAGCACTTGCGAGGCACTCTGTGAGTTCAAGGCCAGCCTGGTCTACAGAGCAAGTTCCAGGACAGGCTCCAAAGCAACACAGAGAAATCCTGTCTTGAAAAAAAAAAAAAAAAAAAAAAAAAAAAAAAAAAAAAAAGAAAGAAAGAAAAAAAGAAAAAAGTTCCAGTCAAATATGTATGGAATTTGTGAATTTATCAAAATGTAAAGCATATAAGGAAGATGAGGGCTCCAGGAATGGCCAAGTTCAGTCTGAAGAGGGGTAAGATGAGTAGGGAAGAAAGGTGGGACTTGCTTTGCTAGTTATTAGACTGTGGTAGACAGTGGAGAACAGTGCTGGCTGCTTGAGGACAGACAGACAGCCACTGCACTGGACAGGATGAAGGGCACAGGTCAGGCTCTGGCAGCATAGCTAGGAATCTCATAAAGACAGGGGCAGAGCTGTAAGTCCAGGCAAAGTTAAGTGCATTCAGATAGCTGCTTGATCATATGGAAGACGTAAGTAAAATTAGATCCTGCCATATTCTGCACAGGATTAGCTCCAGAGACATTAAAATTCAGTGTGAAAATACAACTTAATAAGGCTACATGAAGGCCCAGGGCGTAGCTCAGGACGGACTAGCAATGGGTGCTAGACTATATGTGTGTGTGTGAATATGAGAAAGCGTTTAACATCGTAGTAAAACGTGATTTTTATGACAAGGCACACAAAGCAGGGAGCCGTGAAAAATGTATACTCTATTCCATCCAAATTGAGATTTCTTATAGCGTCGGAGAAACCGACGTTAATCCACCGACTAAGAGGATGGCGCTTGTCCCACTACACAGCTTCATCGAGGAGCAAAGCTCACAAATATGCAAATAATGTCCCAAACCCATCAAGTCTTAAGAAACAGAAAATGCAAGCAAGGGACAGAAAGAGAGATAGTTTGGGCTTGGGAAGAGCACTGACACAGGAGGGTTTGATTTGGAGAGCAAGGTGAGCTACTAAAGACAGAATCTCCAAGCCGCCTGGTGGAAAGTAAGTCATCCCTCAGAACGGGCTGGTCCGGAAGACAGAAGCTTCCGTGCCCGCAGTGGATGACCATCAGTGAGTCACCAGAAGTAGGAAATGAATGGCGGGGCATGACATTCATCAATCAAATGTTAGCTAAGTGCCTACCGTGCACTACTGTCGGTACTGACATGAAGGTCCAGAGAAAAGTTTTTCCCTGCATGAAACTTGGGATGTAGGGAAGCAACACAGGGCAGCCAGGGAGCCAGGGAGTGAGTAAGACTGTCAGATGAATGAATAAACACATACAGGGATTAGCGGTGGGGAGGGCTTTGACAGCAAGGCAGAAAAAGTTGGGGGGGGGGAGCTGTGGGGAAAGGGGTTGAGTTAAAGACTGGGGAGTGACAGGGACTGGGGTGCCACTGAGATTCAGAGTCTGGGGCAGGCAGGGTGTGGTTTCACCAAAAGCCGGGCCAGCAGGCAGAAGTGGGCTGGAGAGGGGAGACCCAATCTGGGGCGGGTAGACAAATGGGACCAGAGAGAGAGAGAGAGAGAGAGAGAGAGAGAGAGAGAGAGAGAGAGAGAGAGAGAGACCTTTCTATGCTGTATGATCGATTTCACCAATTCTCGGACCCACGCATGGCTGATACCTGTCCAGAGGCAAAGAGCAAACTGCAGTAATGGTTACTGAGTGAAAACCCAGAGCATTTTTCTGGTACTTTCCTCTTGTTACTCTGCTCAGTCTTCACAGGGCCCCTACAAAGTAGGTATGTTCGACTCATTTAAAAGATTGGAAAGCCAGGGCTATGTTCGACTCATTTAAAAGATTGGAAAGCCAGGGCTAGCCAACTGACTGTCTCAGGATCACAAGTGGTAAAGGCATCAGATGGGCTGGAACAAGGCAGCCTGGCTCCAGTGTTCTTGCTGTGGAGAACGGAGCTAAACCTGCACTCTTTGGGTCCCTTGACAAAGTTTGCTAAAGGCTGACTGATGGAATGAGGTGTGTGTGTGTTGGCCGGGGGACGTAGAGAAGAGCTGGCTGGGGAAATTAGAATGGTTTAGAGCATGCTGATGCAGATGTACCTGGGTCAGCACTGGTGAACCTGCAACCTGGCAGCTGATTGCTAACCCACTGGACCAGGCGAGGGGGTGATGGGGCGCGGCATCCTACAGGATCTGCAGATCTTTGAGGGGTAACAGAGATGCTAGGGTGGAATCAAACCGACCAAGCACCACTGTTTCCCAGAGATTCAGGATGGGACTATACCAAAGAACCTCGCCTTAAAGTGGTCCCTTCTCCTATCTAACTTCAGGACTAAGCAAATCTCTTAGCCCGTGGGCTGTCCCTCTGTCCTGCTGGAATAGTCGACCAGTTTCTGCCCTGTTGCCAACATCCCACCCAGGGCTCTAGGCAGGTGGTGAGCAGGGGCATTTGCGAAGCCCTGTTCCTGGAGGTGGCGGGACAGTCACCTTGGGAGTTCAGGGACTTTGGCTCCAGCAGCCTCTGAGCCCTGGAGGCTAGCTATTCCTGGAGTCTGCAGAGAGGCTGGGCGATCCTGGAACTCAGGGAACTCCGACCCGGGGTGTCCCTTTAGGGCAGGCTACAGGTCTGGAGCCTCGGTGCATGGTGACACCACTGCGAACCCACCCCAACCTGCCCTTCGGGTCTGTGCCAGTCCGGGGCGCGCACGGGCGGGAGGCCGGGAGCCGGGAGCCTGGAGCGGGAGGAGCGGCCCGGGGCGGGCTGCCAGGGCGGGCGAGTGAACGAGCGAGCGAGCGAGCGAGCGAGGCGGGGGCGGCGGGTGCAGAGCTGCTGCGGGCGGCGGCGCCCGCGGGTCACTTGCAGGCCGAGCGGCGGACGGCAGGACGCGGGGTGGCAGGGCGCACCATGCCCACGTTCGACCAGGCGCTAAGGAAGGCGGGCGAGTTCGGGCGCTTCCAGCGGCGCGTGTTCCTGCTGCTGTGCCTGACCGGTGTCACCTTCGCCTTCCTCTTCGTCGGTGTGGTCTTCCTGGGCAGCCAGCCCGACTACTATTGGTGTCGCGGGCCGCGTGCCACCGAGCTGGCCGAGCGCTGCGCCTGGAGCCCCGAGGAGGAGTGGAACCTCACGGCACCGGAGCTCCGCGCTCCGGCGGCCGAACGCCGAGGCCAAGGCCACTGCCACCGCTACCTGCTGGAAGCCACCAATGCCAGCACTGAGCTCAGCTGCGACCCACTCGCTGCCTTCCCCAACCGCTCCGCGCCCCTGGTGCCCTGCAGCGGCGGCGACTGGCGCTATGTGGAGACCCACTCCACCATCGTCAGCCAGGTAAGCGTGACCCCGTCTCACTGCCACACTGCAAGTGTGAGAAGGTGGCCACCAGCCTAGGTCTCTAGAGTCTTGGTGACTCAGAGACACCCGCGTCCGTCCGATGACCACCTTCAGGGACCCACCAGGTTCCAGTTCATGCTTGCATGAGCTGCAATGCAAATGCCCGAGAAAGCCTTTTGTTTCTGTCCTGGCCTGAAGGAGTAGCTAAAGGAAAACTTTCCTAGAAGCCAACTGGGAGACGCTTTACACACACACCTGCCTCCGCGGTTGTCACTGAGGTGTGTTGGCACAGTGATTGGAGATTATGTGTCCCGTCTTGGCTGGGGACTTCTTCAGGCGGGGTTGAACTGTGTTGGCACATCGGGGTTGGCTTATCTCCAAGGGGGATTCAGGAGATGGGAAATCGACTTTGAAGACTTGAAGACCGGCAACTCGCCCCCCCCACCACCACCACCATCCAGTGCTCAAATGGTTGGTTATCTGAAATTCAGGGGACAAAGGTCAAGGCTCTCCCAGGCAGTAATTTTGGTAAAAACAGCTTTAGGACAAAGAGCAGCAATTTAGGAGAAGTTAGGAAAGCTGAGAGATTGGACAAGAGTTTGTGGGTTTTCCTGCTAGTAAATCATAGGAAGGCGACAGGCAAGGCGACCAGAGGAGGCTCCCATCTCTCTGTGACTGCTGGAGCTGGAGGAGGAGGCAATCTCCACACTCCACACTTTGTTCTCTCTCTCTCTCTCTCTCTCTCTCTCTCTCTCTCTCTCTCTCTCTCTCTCTCCCCCTCCCTCCCTCCCTCCCTCCCTCCCCTTAAGCACTGTGAGCTAGGAGGCTGTGGGTTTTCATGTTTTAGGTCAGCTCAGAGCTGGTCCACAGAGACTAACAGTTCTACTGAGTTTTGCCTAAGTTATAGCTCAACTTAATCCCCATAAGATGATTGGTTGTACTCGGGTAAATGGAGGAAGGAAATTTTTTTGTCTCTTAGTTCTTGTCCAAACCACTTGTTCAGTTAACAAGAGGGACATCAGGAGGGCCGGAATGCCTTTTGTATACTTTATCTTTCCTTGGTGGTCATGTCTCAAGTTGGGCTGCAGTTCCAGGAAGCTGTTCTTTCCTGTATGGCATTATGGGGATATGGTAGCCTACTCAGTGACATTCCAGAGGCCGTGTCTCAAAGATCATGAAGTTATCCGCTGGCTTCCGCTGGCACACATATGCACGAACACATTGGAATACACACACACCCTCCCACAGTGTGCACACATGCTCATGTGCGCGCACACACATTCTCTTAAAAAGGTGAACATAAAAACCTTTAAAGCAGAACGCACACCCACTCTAGAAAGATGGACATAAATGAAGGTGATCCTTGGACACCCAAGAAGAAGCCATAAAAATCTGCATGCAAATACTCTGACTTGTTCTTCAGGAATTTGCTGGGGTTCCAGGGTTGACGGAACTTTGCTGCGTGATTGACAGTTATTAAACACAGCACAGAATGGTAGGAAGTCAGGAGATGGTACTGACACTGTGTCTGGGGGCTGTGTGGGTTCAGTCTGTCAATTAACTTCTTCAGCCCCATTTTCTCATCCTATGCATGCCATTATTGTCACTAGCAGGTGACATCTCAGTGTGCACAGAACAGTGGTCTGACTTCTTCAGGGGCAAGCTAAAATGTTACTTAGGTTGCCTGCCTTAAAGCTGCAGATGAGGTTATGAAACCTAGGGGAGAGATTTCCTCGGCAAATTCTAAGTAGCTCTAACCTCTTGTGGCTCATCTCTCACGTGTCAACCCTCAGGAGGACTCCCCCACATCTATCCTGGAAGCCTAGCCACTGAAAGTAAACCCAGAATCCCATAGGACCTCCATGGGTTCCCTGTGCTTTCTTTGATTTAGAATATGGAAAGCAATTCATTTCTGTTATTTCAGATACTATCGAAGTAATGAACGAAACTGTGGTTTTGGTTCGGCTGGGGTTATGGACTGGGTGTGTTTTCAGGGACCGGATGCTGGAAGAGGTGGGAAGTAGATGGGCTGCGTGTGGTACTTGTGGGGAGATATGATTGTCTTAGCTTTGTGCAAGGGAGAGAGCTGAAGCTGGTGATGTTAAAGACCCTGCCAGAGGCCCACACTGTTGTGGAGGTTGTCACCTGTCAACTTTAGTTCTCTGTTACTGTGGTGGTCCGCCAGCCAACGTGCCCTTTGTCTCCTTTGGTGGCATTGGGAACACATCCGGCCAGGCTGGCTGCTGGGGAAGCTGTGACTTCATTTGGTGCATTGTGTACAAGGTAGAATAGTCACTTAGAACTCATCCGCCCTTGCCTTAGCTTCAAGGGAGTCAGGAGTGACTGTCAATGGTAGGGCTGTCCCAAGCCATCTCCTTACTCAGGGGACTTCCTACTTACACTGTATTCCTCAACATGGACTTTTCTGTGTGCCTCAGCCTCGTCTGCTTGTTAGATGGGGGGGTGGGGGTGGGCAGAATCAGCCCTGATAGAGTGTAAACACTGAGCTCTCACCCACTGGATGTTTCAAATCCCTACCTAGGGATGGAGCCTTTGAGGTTGATGGTGGGATCTTTGAAAGCTTGCTAGTACCGGGAAGGGATAAAAGGCATCTTTCTACTTCAGGGTCCTTCACACAAGTGAACAATGGCTCATCCATGACTTTTCTTCTGAAATAAAAGGAAGGTCAGGGATGTGGGTGGTCTATTGGAGAGAGTGCTCGTCGCTCTGTTCTCAGGGTTCCTCCTCACCCCCCAAGCGTTTGTTTTGATTCCTGCAATTGTCCTAAGATATTGGGCGATTCCTCATAGTGCCAGCTTAATCCTGCCCTCCCTAAGGGTCTGCATGGGTGCTGGAGAAGGGCGTTTGCCAAGCCACAAGTCTGCCCTAGGCAGGGTTTCTAATTTGCTATTGGTGCTTAAGAAAGAAGTATGGGACTAGAGAGAAAGCCCAGTGGTTAAGAGCACTGATTGCTCTTCCAGAGAATCTGGATTCAATTCCCAGCACTACATGATGTTCACAACCATCTGTAAGTCCAGTTCCAGGGCATCCAAATTCCTCTTCTCACCTCCATGGGTACCAGGAGTGCACATGGTGTGCAGATGTACATGCAGGCAAAATATACACTTAAACTTCTAGAAAGAATGTGTTGCTGTATCATTTGAATGTGTAATGCCATTGTGTCTCCCCCCCCCTTTTTTTTTTTTTTTGCTGAATTAGCTTGATCATTGGAGTATCTAATACATTATTTATTTAAATACCCAATTTGGGCATCATTTGTTTTCCTCTTCATCATTTTCCTCCTCTTTACTATGTGTTAGTGTGTTTTTCCCAGGTTAAGCTGGATCCTTTTTTTTTTCCTTTTTTGTAGTGTAAATATTTAAAGCTATGCATTTGCTTCTATGGACCCCCTTGGCTGCACTTCAAAAAGTTTTTCAATGTATAGTTTTGAAAAGGGCGCCTAGATCTTGTCTGTGAGCAAATACAGATGCATGCTGTTGTCTGAGCTGCATCTACATGAAGGCTCATGGAAGGTAGCATGCCTCATTGAGTCCAAGCACCAGTAGGTGTCCATCTTTCCCTTGCCCAGTTCATATCTGGGGAGCAGAATCAGTGTTGTGTGTGGGAACTGAGCCACCTTGACAATTCAATGTTCACTATGTGTGTAACCACCAGTCCCACAGGAGAGGAGTAAGAAGTCTAGGGGTTCTAAGGAATGGGATTTGTATCAGCAAGGAGCTTTTTCTTGCTTTCGTTTAAAAAAAAATTATGAGACTAAGCTAGGTGAGTTAGCACACACCTGTAACTCTGGTACTTGGGTCCTGGTGTAGAAGAGTCACTTGTACCCAAGAGTTTAGACACAACAGCAAAGCTCCATCTCAAAACATTACATAATTGCACTGACATGTCCACGCCCGTATGTCCAGTTTCCCATTGGAAGAATCACTCTTTAAGACCACATGCATCGGTCATCATCTTCACACAGGCTTGGCAGCAGGAGTCTTTACACATTGAGCCTTCTCACTGGCCTAAAGGAAACCTTCTTAGACTATGTAATCAGGTTGTTCAATGTCTTGGCATTAAAACACACATGCAAGTAATTAGTATGAAATGATAAAGATGGCCATGCATGCTGGGTGTGGTAACACGTGACTGTAATCTTCATGTTTGGGGAGCCTGAGACAGCTCAAAGGTCAGGAATTCAAGGCCAGTCTGGTTACACAGGTAGACTCTATCAAGAGGGAGTGAGTGGGAGGGAGAGAGAGAGAGAGAGAGAGAGAGAGAGAGAGAGAGAGAGAGAGATGGTGTCTCATTTTTACCGTGTTCCTACTCTAGTACCCAAATCCTGACTGCAATGGCCTGGGAAGCAGTTTGGTAACTTGCACCTAGGTACAAAGGCTCCTAGGTACAAAGGCTCCTAAGTAGGCTAGTCTTCCAGTGGTTCATGAAGCGCCCTAGAGGGCTGGCCCTGGAGGCTGTAGTCCTACAGCGCAGGAGGTGGCAGAAGAGAGGGTTATTAATTGGAGGCCAGCCTGGATATACAGCGAGTCTCTGCCTCGAAGCAAACAAACAAAAATCAAAAGAAAGAGAAGGGGAGAGAAGAGAACTCAAGGAGGGGGGGGGGGGGAGAGGAGGGGAGGGACGGGAAGGGATGGGAGGGATGAGAAAGGGAGGGAAGTATCCTGGAGATACATCCCTTTCGGTACAATACTTCAAAGCCTGCAGTGTTGCTGCCGTTAATCAGATGAAGGAGACGAGCCTGTCGTCCCAAAGCCGTGTTTGAATATGGGCACCTTTCTGCACTTTCCTTCACATAGACAAGCTGCTTGATGGTTATTGCAGGAACTAAAAATCAGTCACCTCTCAACATAAAAATCCCCACACATGAGGATGTATAGTGTGCTCGGTCCAGAAGGGTAAGACTGCAAAAAAAAAAAAAAAAAAAAAAAAAAAAAAAAGGAATGAAATAAAGAGAAGTTAAAGCACCGAGAAAGGCC